CGATATCTCAAGTTGGGCACTCAAAATCAATAGGCACTTTTGAAAAATCTTGGCCTGAGGACCTGATCCTTTGTTACTATGAATGGCAAAACTTCAGTTTAAGCCAAAAGGAGTAGGTTATAAATACAGAACCTCTTGCTAGCGGAGGGAAGAGGTCCTGTTAAGGACCTAACACAGCTTAGTTACTGGAAAGGGAAATCACACCATTTAAGCTTGCTGGAGCTCTCTAAAGAAGAAAGCAAAACAGCATACGAGGTGGAAGCAGTGGCTGTGGAGTGATTTAACCATTTATATTTTTCACAAAGATAGCGTGCTCAATGCCTTACAGAACAAAGGCACAAAGTCCTGGCCCTGCAGAATATACAACGTACTAGAAATCGTAGGAAAAGTTCCTGGTATAAGCCTTCTACAGAAATTACAACTAACCCTTTCTGATGGAGGCAGCCAAACCCATATTGAGGCATCTAAATACATAGTCTTACCTGCAGAGGTGCAGAGAGCTCACAACTGGATCTGCAGGTGTGCAGTACCACTGAAAGTCGGGCATTTATTAAGGCACCAGTTCAGTAAAGCATATGCTTAAATTCCACTGAAGTAAGTGCAATCTAAGCACGTGCTTAAGTGCTTTGCTAAACTGGCATCTTAATGCCCAGAAATGGATCTGAATGCTTAACTTTGAGCACTCACGTTTGAAAGTTTTCTAGTTTTAGCAGCTAAAGAAGGAACGGTTTGATCTGGGCCCATATTAAACAACTGGTTATGGGACAGGCAGCAGTGGGAATAAATGGCCTTTTCTGTGGTAACCTTGCCTGCAAAAGGTCAGTTCTGAACTCGAACAAGTCCATAGAAGAGCACTCAATACAGCAGTTTAAAGCAGTTGACCCGAGAGGCTAAGCTAAGAGGAAGGCGAGGATGACAGACAATTTAACATCAGCCTGCACAAAGCACTAAAGAGCATGATAGAGAATAATCCTTCATTGGCAGGATGATGGTCTAGACAGACCTCAGAATGTCTCTTCTGTATCTTATATCTATGATTAATTCAGAGCAGAAGAGGGACTCACAATGATAACAGATTTTGTTTATCACACCGTAAGCATTTGTAATGTTTAAGATGGATCAGTTGCTCCTCTTCGTCCAATCTCAACTGACAGAATGGCTACATGAATAAATACATACCCAATATGCCTCTGCTAATATAAGGAGTTAGTCCAAACTGATCAAGAAAAATTATACTAAAGCTTCAGGACATAAGACAGTCAACAGCAGGCATCAGGAAGGAACTTCATCCTCTAGCCCCAGCCTCAAAATATGCTTGCCCACGACACCTTGGGAAAAAGGAAGGGCAAAGAGGAGTGCTTTCCACTGAAACTTCAGGTATTGTCTATTGCCAGGATACTGCAGTACGTATACCAGTGGGCAGCTCCAATAGCATAGACCTCCATGTCTGTAAATCTAAAGAGCCCTGGGAGGTTTCATTTATGTACTGTAAGGAGAAGTAGAATGGAAGTGACTATGCAGATATAGAAATACCATGCTAATCTGGGAGTGGCTATGATAAACCCTGTGTTAACCCTTGGGCTTGCCAAGAACACACTAAATGTTTTCCGGAGCCTGAGCAGACGCTGACTTATCTGAGCACTAATGCAGTTAATAAAAAAGCACTGTGCCTTCACTCTGACAAACGAGACTCCTGTGTGCTCACTAAACATTACGGCCACTGAACACTTAAATGCGAGATCTCAGAGCCATGCAACACACTATAACTAAGGCTCTCTACTGGTATAGTATCTGCATCTAAGTTGGTTGCAGTGTTGTTGTAGCTGAGTTTGTCCCAGGATAGGAGATGCAAAAGCTTTTGAGCTACAGAGAGCTCTTCTTCAAGTCCTTTGTAGCTCAAAAGCTTGCCTCTCTCACCAACAGAAGTTGGTCCACTGAAAGATATTACCTCACCACCTTGTCTAATATTTGCATTTAAGGCATTAATTTCTGACAGTCTCCTGAGAACCCAGTCAAGGAAATAGGAAAATTACATCCCAGATGAATGTTGCAGTGTCAAATGTTAATATGTCTGTCATGTGACCTATTGTTTGGCATGGTCTCTGTTCAGAACAACAACAATGTACATTGTTTAATTCAACTGCTATTTATTAGATTGAGCTGCATTTGCAGAATCCAAATTTGAATTTACCTCTCATGGACAGTAAATCTTTATTTTTCCATTGACCCTGACTACAATGTGGCCCTACTTGCTATTCAGCAAGGATTCCACTTGCAGGGGTTCTAACTGAGCACAGAATTTTTAACTGAAAGCATCATTTCATTGCGCGGGGGCGGGGGGTGTTTGGGAACCACCACAAAATGAAACCTGAAAGCAGAATCTGTGTTTCACCTCAGGCATGGCAGACTCAAGAGAGTAGGCTAAGTCACCTGCCCTGGCCTTCTCCCCAGAAACCTATTTCATCTTCTTTTTAAAGTCAGGGTCAGCTTTAGAAACATAGAATATCAGGGTTGGAAGGGACCTCAGGAGGTCATCTAGTCCAACCCCCTGCTCAAAGCAGGACCAATTCCCAACTAAATCATCCCAGCCAGGGCTTTGTCAAGCCTGACCTTAAAAACCTCTAAGGAAGGAGATTCCACCACCTCCCTAGGTAACCCATTCCAGTGCTTCACCACCCTCCTAGTGAAAAAGGTTTTCCTAATATCCAACCTAAACCTCCCCCACTGCAACTTGAGACCATTACTCCTTGTTCTGTCATCTGGTACCACTGAGAACTGAACTTTAGGCACCAACGTTCCAAGCATGTGCTTGGGGCGGCACTTTTCAAGGGGCGGCACTTGGTTTGTTTTTGCTTCGGCGGCGGCACTCCACCCCCCGTTTTTTTCTTTTTTTGCTTGGGGTGGCAAAAAACCTGGAGCTAGCCCTGTTTAAAGTATCAATCTTTTTGATAGTATTGTAACGGAGTTACTCTGTGCTCGCTAGGTCTCTATGTGGGGCACATCTACACGGAGCCCCCAACGAGCGGGGCACTCAAGTTGTATGAACTGTAAATAATTTCTCAGTTCACTGGGAATTCTGAAAAAAAAATCATCATCTTGGGTTGATCCGAAAACAAATTATTTTTGAAATTTTCAGCAAATCAAGTAGTCAGAAAAAAAAAGGTTTTGGGTCAAATGAAACATTTTGTTCAACATCGGCTGAAATGTTTTGATTCTGAGCATTTTAAATGTTTTTAAATTTATAAAAATAAAACTGAAGTAAATTTTGAAAGTCATTTTGAATAAAAAAACGTGAAACAGTTAGTATAGAAATGAAATGTTTAGATTTGTTTGGAATTATTTTTAGTTTTATTTTCCTCTGAATCAGTTTGACATATTCTACACAAAGCCACAAAATGTTTCAGTCAACCAAAATCCGCATTTTTCCCCAAAAAATTTCAGTCGAAAAATTTCACCCAGTTCTGTGGCTCCTCCCAACCCTCTCGGGAAGTAGCTCTGAGAGGAAGTTCAGGGGGGTGAGCATACTTCCTGCCTGGGGGAGTAGATGAAAGTGTGTTTGAGCAGTAGCGGCAGCAGGAGACTGCACTGACTTTGAGCTCTCCTCCAATAACAATTCTGTGTCTCTATTGTTCACTGAGCGGCAATGTAATTGTTCTGGGGACTCTTGCTAGATTGTGCTAACCCACCAAAACAAAGAGCCCATGGTAACAAGAGTAGAAACTGACCGCACAGTCTTACCATGTATAAAACACACTGCTGCTAAACAATGCTCTTGTGTGGGAGCAATTAGAGCTATGTGCCTTGATGCAGCAGCAGCTCTTCTGCATCCCTCAAGGAATTCTCAACCACACTTGTGTGCGCTTGGGTACAGCGGAGTACAATTAGAATTTCCTTTTTGTATCTGCTAGCCAACAGGGTTAGGAAGAAAAGATAAAGGATTCATATTAAAAACATAAGAACAGCCATACTGGGTCCTTACAGTCTTTACAGGGCCCATCTGTTTGCTGGGTGTTTGTACAGCGCCTAGCACAGTGGGGCCCTGATCCATGACTAGGGCTCCTAAGCACGAGGGCCACATTAATAATGATAAGAACAACCTATTGTTATTTATTAACAGGTTTACTGAAGGTTGGACTGCCACTAGTCTTGCCCTCAGCACGCCTGGGTGCCTGAGCATGGAAAGGGAAGCATTAACTTTGCACATCCTGACCAGTTTAAGAAGCTTGAATATTTTCAGTTTCATTACCACCCCCAGCCAATAGATTCCCCCTCATCCCAGGCACCAATTCCTCTTCACTCCAGAAGTAGGAAGTATCCCCTTTTACTTCTCTAAAGAGGTTACAGCTCTAAATCAATGGCTGATATGTGACCTTCGGGTATAGTGCTTTTGTCTTGAGACGCCTTAATGTGATCCGTTAGTACATGGCAGCAAGGAGGAGGCTGACAGAGCTTCTAAACCCTCTGGACACATGAGCATGAACAAGTTTTTTTCCTCTAAGTGTAGAAGGGAAAAATCCTAGCGGTTGCCTTTCTTTCAGAGGTAGTAAGAGCCATGTGAACCCTAGCTGAATTTAATCCTCATTTGTAACTGACTCTTTGATTAGTCCTGTCATATTAAATGATGGGAGAGAATGTGTCAGATGGTTAGAGCCAGGGAGTGGGAGGAAGGATTAATGGGTTCTATTTCTGGCTCTGCCGCTCACTCAGTTTGCGACTTGGACAAATCAACTTAACCTCTCTATAGCTCAAGTTTCCCCCCCTGTAAAATGGGTAGAACCAATAACAGCTCACAGCATATGGCTGCTAGGCAGCTCAGTTTGTTTGTGACATCCTGGGATGAAAGGTATTGTGTAAAGGCAGGGGATCAGACTGTTTTTTTTTTTTGAAGTATCGTCAGTGTTGTTGTGGTTTATCACTTGCGAAATAAGAGAAATATTTCTGAGCGGATGCAGCATGAGAGAACTCCATTCACACACCTGACAGTGATGTTTGTTTAACAGGAAAACTGCATTAGATCGCTACAGCCTTGAGAAAGCCGGCTTTACCCACATCCTCAATGCAGCCCATGGCCGGTGGAATGTGGACACAGGACCAGATTACTACAGTGACATGGCCATTGAGTACCATGGGGTAGAAGCAGATGATCTCACCACCTTCAACCTCAGCCAGTTCTTTTATTCAGCTGCTGAATTCATTGAAGCTGCACTCCAAGATCAGAGAAGTAAGGAGGGGGCAGAGTACGATCAGAAAGACCTTGTTTGCTACAGTTGATTTCAGTGCACATGAGTATTCATCAAAAGTAGCCACTCCCAGGGGGTGAAACAGGCAGAGACAGTCAAGGACCACCGGCAGAGGACAAACAAGCAATGGCTAATAATGGAACTGGTCATTTCAGGAAAGTCAATGCTGGTATAGGGTTCAGGTCATCTCACAGCCAGGTCAGCCATTCAAATCAATGGGATTTGGTAGCAATCCAAGAGTCCTTACCTCCTGATGTGCCAATGTTAAGCAGCTATCTCCCTGGCAGACGGGTGTTCCTAGCACAAGCAGCACTCATTTTACACTCCTATGAAGCAAACAATCTCAGGAGGAAAGTCGTGAACTCAATGGGCCACAGAGCTAGTCTGCCATTCTTAGAGGTGGTCCCTTTCCAGTTAGCTGTGAGGCCTATTAGCAGGGCATCTGCCCAGGCTGTACTTATCCTGCGTATGTAGGACTCCAGTCTCCAAGCCTGTCACTTCAATATTTCTTACACTAAAGCATTAGGTTTGCTATAGAGACATATCAAAGCACTTTAGTACTTTTGCCATCAGATCATCTCCAAGCTGTAACAGGGATTTATTTTTGTCATCTTCCAAGCCGTAGGAGACTGAAATCACTTTGACAGCACAGATCTGGAAACATTAGTTAAAGCCTTTGTAATTTCCCAGCTTGATTACTACACTTCATTATTTGCTGACCTCCAGCAGCGTTCTAGCTAAGGGTTTAAGCTGATGTGAAGCACCACAGCCGCGACCCCACACTGTCTTTCAACATTTACTCCGGTTCTTATTTTAAAAAAAAAATCTCAACAGGGTGTTTTACCAGGAGCCAGCAGAGAAACTTAAGATCCTCCTGCTGACCTACAAAGCCTTTAATATCAGAGGGCCACATATCAAGTTTCCAACCTCTTGTCAACTTGTGTTCTTGGCTGTTTAGATCAGCAGCTGCTGGTTACCTGGCATACCCCCAATAACCAGCCAGGTCTTAAGCTTTCAACAAGTACAGTCCTCAGCTACAGAATTTGCCCCTTATTAAGGCAGAAAGACAATAAATCATCACTATTTTAAAACTGAAGTGCCAGTAGCATTATGTGTTGCTTTAAGATTTTATGTTCTTAGAAGGAAGAGAGGTCCATAGGTGAAGGAAGCTACTTAAAATTGACAAGACTCCACCCAAGTACTGCTTCTGGAAAGGGTGGGGAATAGTTAGATTTTCTGGGTGGCTGAAAGCATCTGATCTCTAGCCTCACTGCTAAGCACATTCCTAGAGAGGGACTTAGGCCTAAGAGCTTGTCTACACAAACATGTAGTTTGTGGCAAGCTGGGGTGTGAATCTAGCCCACACTACCCTGCCACAGATTAACTATCTGCGTGCTCCCTGCTGACACACGTTGAGTTCATTAGAATGCTTTGCTCCAGTCTTCTTTAAAATGGGACTTGTTAACAGTTCTTTAAAGCACTTTGAGCATGTGCCAGCAGGGTGCACCCGGACAACTAGTCCACTGCAGGTTTGTGTGGGGTACAGTCACACCCCAACATGCCACGAACAAAATGTTTGTGCAGACAAGTCCTTAATAGCTTTTACTTCCCCATCCCGCAGCCTTCCCTTCCTGTTCCCGCATCACAGCATGAAAAACATGGTAAACACACAGAAGTCAAGAGAGAAGGACTGTTTCAACAGCACTACATTAAAGTGCACAAGCAGGGTCTACATGAACCTGTTAGTGCACAGCACACTAGTGCACTTTAGAAATCAAAGCCCTGTCGTGCGCATTGCTGCTCCATATAGACAAGCCCTGAGAAGTCCTAGTGTGCCTTGTGAACTGATAAATGGTAGGGGGAGAGACTCAAAGCAGTTTGCAAGGCTCAAGCTTCAAAGCTTCCAGTTTAAAGGCTGTATCAAACACTCATGAAGTCTTGCGGCTCGACCAAGCATCAATGCAGCAATGAAACAGAAGCCCGACTCAGAGAATGGAATGATTCACTTATTAAAAATACTTCTGAATTCAAGAGTAACTAAATGTGTAACACTGACACTTCTGTATGTAGCTGTTCTTCTGGCTGCTGCATTGGTAAGATGTTTGAATAATAAGGACAGAGAGTTGTTTTGTTCTTACATACACTAGCGATATAAAGATAACCATTGCCTGTAGTAGCCCTGGAGAAGAGAGGACAAGAATGCAAATAAATTCATGTTGGGGAAACAAGGGGCACTGAATACATGTTACTCATACTGCAGCCAAGTATGGCACCATTAAGCCTCACCTTCTTGTCCAGATGGGGATGGTCATTTTAATGCATTCAGTCAAACATACACTTGCAATAGATTTACGGCCTTTTTTTGCTGATACAGCGGTTTCAGAAGTATTGAAGTGTGCATTTTCCCCATTCAAATAGTGGACTACTGACATAGGACATGTGAAGAGATAAGAGGCAGTTAGCCAAGCAGCACGTACTCCCATCAGTTCAAGGGATCAGCCTTAAAGAAAGCTTACACAAGAGTACATAACTACCCTGTTCAATAAAGACCAGTCTCTGTTTAGCCATCTAGCATAGCAAGCTGACACTTCTTTCACATGCTTAAGTTAATTCCAGGCATCCTAGGAGTATAACCACCCAGCATGTTTGTCTTGTTAATGCCCCTCAGGTTCCTAACCCAGACTTTGGAGTAAGTAGTAGAGAAAGGATGGTTCAGGGGCCAGGACACTAGCTTGGGAAACCTAGGTTTGATTCTTTGCTCTGCCACAGACTTGCTGTATGACCCCAGGCAAATCACTTAGTCTTTCTTTGCCCTGGCTCCCCATCTGTATGATGGGGATAATAGCACTTCCTGACCTCCCAGAGGGGTTGTGAGGATAAATACAGTAAGATTGTGAGGCATCCAGATACTATGGCCATACAAGGAGCTCAGCAAGATAGATTAGCACTCCAAAGCATTTGAACAGCAACACACAAATGGGCATCACTTCACCCACCCACACAATTGGGCCCTGCAGGACAGGGAAAGTCCCCATCTTTATCGAAAGTCCTCCAGGATCTTTAATGTTCACACACAGCAGACAGGTTCTCCATTCTTGCAATTTCGACATGCGCATTTTTCTCCCTCTTTTACATGACATAAAATACAGGTTCTCCTCTTGCCACTGATGCCCAGAAAGTTCTTCTTTGTTTCCCAGCTCCCCAAGCAAAGCCTTTATCCCTCAGCCTTCCCCTCCTATCAGTTATTTACTCCACCATTCTGCCCCATTTACAAACCGGAGGCTTGAGCAAGAATGAAGGGCTGAACAAATGGGAGTTTTCATCTGTTTCAAATATTCAGAGTAACGATAGAAGGGATTATCATTCTCTGTTATCAGTGAGGCTGGAAATCTGCCATGATTCCTCTACAACTATCTGCTGGGATTAGGATGCAAGCTGTGACCATTAATCCCCTTGTGCTGGCAGTTCTTGATGTGTCCATGACACAGCAGTGCTGCTCCTGCCAGGAAATCATTCCCTCCACTTGCAGCATCAAGGAACGAATTGCTAGGAGTCGAAGCCTGGCCCCACCGGATGTAGCCGACAAAGTAAAAATGCCTCTGGCCTTGCAATGGTGTTCGTGGTGTTATTTGACCATAGGAGGTTGTGGTAGACAGGACTTCTGATGCTGCCTTTATCAGGTACACTGATTTAAAAAAATTCCACGGCAGCTAGTCTCAGAGCCCAGGTCTACGGACTTAGGCTCCTGGGGCTCACACTACAGCACTGCAACTAGTAGTGTAGACATTCCTGCTAGGACTGGAGCTCGGGCTCTGAGACCCATCCTCCTCGCCAGGTTTCAGAGCCTGAGCAGGATCTCTCCTGCCATACACAAGCCCAAGTCGGTCGACCCAGGGCTCTGAGACTTGCAAAACTCCACCCCAGCTTTTCTCCTCCCAGGGTTTTGTAGCCCAGAAGCCTTTGCATCAGTTCCTGCAGCACATGGAAGGGCCCCGTACCACTCACTTTCCTCCACCAGCCCCTGGCTGCTGCCCGTGGGGGACATCCCACTCTCATTCATTTGCCTTACAGCAGCCCCGAGAGGCTCTGGCAGAGACTGACACCTCATTGTGCTAGAGCTGCCTACACGCAGTAAGAGACAGCCCCGATCCCAAGAGCTAAAATCTAACCAGACAAGACGAACAGGGTGGGATGAAAGGAATTGTCATCCCCAGATGAGACTCAGGGGGGATTAAGTGATTCATCCAAGGTCACACCAAAAGTCTGAGGCAGAGAAGGGAACTAACTACTGAGTCATCCTTCCTCTCTGGCCCCTGGTATTCATAGAATCCTAGGACTGGAAGGGACCTCGAGCAGTCATCTAGTCCAGTCCCCTGCACTCATGGCAGGACGAAGTATTATATTACTAAGTATTAGTAGGGAGCAACTGGACACATCCTTTTCATCCTCCTGGAGGGCATGAGTATCTGGTTCATCAGCACCTCGCTGGCACTGGACCTCTGCCTCCTAATTCTGCCCCCCACCCAGAGAGCACACACTCCTTGATTCAGCAGAATGAGTAAAGCACAGTAAATCATGGATCAGTGGGAGCCCAATAAAGGGGAGGCTGTAGCTTGGCTTAGCTGGCTACCTACTGTTGCATTGCAGCCCATCCTGCCTGGCTGTAAATTGGCAATCCTCCAGTTAAAGCGTTAGGAGATCCAGATTCTATAATGGGACTCACTGGGTGACCTTGGGCAAGTCACTTGACCTCTCTGTGCTTCACAGTCCCTGCCTGTACAAGAGGATGGTATTTACCTACCCTGCAAGGAGGCTGTAAAGCATATTAATGGCTGTGAAGCACTAAGGTCTCTGGGTGGAAGGCCCGAGAGAAGGGGAGAGTGTTTATTATTGGTAAATCTGAAAGCCTTCTCTGTATTTGCTCTCTTCACTTGTGCAGACAAGATCTTGGTTCATTGTGCCATGGGACGCAGCCGATCCGCCACCTTGGTCTTGGCTTACCTGATGATTTACAAGAACATGACAGTGGTTGATGCCATTGAGCAAGTGCTGCAGCACCGATGCATCCTCCCAAACCGTGGCTTCCTGAAACAGCTGAGAGAACTGGACATAAAGCTGGCGCTGGAGAGGACAAATGCCAAGAACGACATCCAAGTCAATGGAGAGGAGCATGGCACAGAGATCTAGCATTCCTCATGCCCTGGGGTTACTGGAAAAACACCTAGCAAGAGAAAACTGGAGTTGGAAAACAATACTGTCAAAAGTCCTTTGTTATAAGTCCAGAGGGAAGAATCAATAGCATCTGAAATGCCTTAAAGGGGATCTCAGGTTGGAGACAAGATAAATGGAGAGAGGAAGCAATCTCGTTAGGGAGCGTAACCCTCATTTTAGTGCTGTTCTTCAGGGCTCTGCTGTACAGAAGAGAAAAAGGAGGGACTTGTGATGGAAGGCAGTGGCGCTATAAGAACTATAAGGGTGGTGCCCAGTACATAAAGGATCGGGTAAGCGTGCAAGTCCATGAACTGCGATTCAGGCCCAGCTGCTCCTGCTGCCCTATTACAATAAATGTTGAACAGCTGTTATTTTAATACCATTTGTGAGGGGCTAATTTATCCCACAGCAAACCCACATGTAAAGCCTGACACACTTACTTAAATATAACCACCCCATGGCACAACTACATTTATTATACATGTCATAAGGTGTTAACTGAATAAGGAAGCATGAGACCAGCTTCACCTGTGTTGCCTTGGGTTAGCAGAACCTTTCCACATAGTGACACATCCTATGATAACTGCCAGTTCAGCACTCACTAGTTTGTGAGTCCATGCTGTAGGATCTAGAGAGAGGGATAGGAGACCTAAACAGCCTTGCAAAGCCTGAGCCAGAACCCAGAGCTGTAATCCTCCTTTAAACTAACTGGGGTGGGATACATGGGCAGTGGGTGAAACTTCCCCTGGGGGAGGCTAGCTCCTTGTCCCACCTCTTCCACCTGCAGCCCCACCCACACTCCACCCCTGTTCCACCCTGCTCGGCCCCCCTGCTGCCACCCGCCACATCTCTACTCACTCCCCCGCCCGCTGCGAGACACCCCCACGAACTTCCCCACACACCACTCCCTGCATCCCTCCTCATCCCCACCGCCTCTCGCCTCCTCACCCCACCACCCACAGCCAGTCACCTCCTCACTCCACCGTCCACCATGTCCCCGCTCATCCCTGCCCACCATGATACCCCCCACCCACCGCTGCTCACCTCCCCACTCCACCACCCACTGCAAGTTCCCTTCCACCTGCTGCATCTCTCCTCACCCCCCGCCTGCTGCCACTCGCCTCCTCACTCCACCGCATCCCTCATGCCCGCCTGCCACCACTCGCCTCATTTCACCGCCCGCCATGAGACCCACCTGTCCAACCATCGTTCGCCTTCTCACCCCCCACCCGTCGCATCCCTCCTCATCCCCCTGCCTGCCACCGCTCACCTCCTCACTCCCCCACCTGCTGTGTCCCTCCTCACCCACCGCCACTCGCCTTCTCACTCCCCGACCTGCTGCTGCTTGCTCATTTCACCACCCACCATGAGACCCCTTCTGCCCGCCACCTCCTCACTCCCCTACCCACCCCAAGACCCAGCCTGCCACATCCCTCCTCACCCTCCACTCCCATGAGGGAGGGGGAGTGAGGAGGGAGGCAGCAAGCAGAGGGGACCTCCGGGGGGGAGGGCGGGGGGAAATGGAGGGAAGGAGAGGAGAGGAGGAAGACTCACCAGGGAGCAGCAGCAGGCATTGGGGGCCTCAGGGTAGAGGTGAGGCCACCACGGCCCAGGTGTCCAGCGGCAGGTCACCGGCAGCTGCACCAGGGGAGGCTTAGCCTTACCTGGTGTATTATTCCCACCACCCATGGCAGGGTGGAAAAAAGAGACTTTGGGTTTAGCTCCCTGTACCCAAGCACAGACTCCCTTCAAACCCCCAAAATCCTAAAGCCAGGCCTGTTGGAAATGAACCAGCGCTGTAACACTGCAGTTTCATCTATTAAGGCTATTATTCTTTGACAAGGCCAAAAGCAGATGTTTATGGGAAGGGTCAGAGATATGATTTGTATCTAATCCGGGGAAAATAAAAGGCACTTTGTTTAAGTGTTTGCCATTCTCAGTCTGCTTCTTTGAAGAATGGCCAGTTTTTACTCTGTTCCCACCTTCCCCGCTACTACCACATCCCTGTCTTGTTTAATTTGCTGGAATACAGTTGACGATAGTCACTAAGAACAGTTTGGGGGCTGGTCCGGAGGGGGGTGTCATGCACCAAACACTCTCTCAGCGATGGGGTGCAAGTCACCTGGAAAACGTAGTTATGCTCCAGCATCCTAAAGCTTGAATCTATTCTTTGAATATGCAGTACCGAACTCCAGCAGGATACGGTTTGGTTTGGTAAACCGATTCTGGGCAGCTGTTTGACGCTCATAAGGCCTCTTACCATCAACTTTCTTCCTATCACTATTGGGGAGCGAAATTCCAGAACAGCATTACAAATGGGAACATTCAAGATAGCATCAGACCTAGCGAACTTCTCAACAGGTAGCTACTGTGAGCAACGGCTGAGGCCATTGCCCATTGCTACAGCCCCCTGCTGTAGAAAACATGACAACACAAAGAGCAAGAAATTTGTCGTAACTGAGTTTGGGAAGCCAATGAAACATCCCGAGCTCCCCCCACTGCTGCATGATCTGTGCCACCCTGCCATCCCTCTTCCAACTTCTTTACCAGTTACTGCAAGATCCTTTTTCTTTACCCTCATTTCTTCTCCCCAGCCCCTCATCCCCCCAGTTATGGCAGTGCTGGGGGCACATTCCCTCTGTTTGGATTTCTCGGTTCTCCTCCACCTCTATGCTAGTCTATATAGGTTCCCGTACCAAGTTCATCACCGCAGTATCTGGGCCCCTTCCAGGGGTGCATTAAGTAACATGACTAATGTCTGGCCCATTTTTTCTCTCCCCGGGGGAGATGAGTGGGCAGAGGAGTGTTGTGTTCTGGTTTTCTTTTTTTTCCAATATACACACACAGTTCATAATATGTTTAGGGTAGAGAAGGCAAAGGCAAAGCAATACACTTCATGCTGAGAGTGGAAGGCAGCGAGGTTTGGGATGGCCCTTTGCTCCTGTAGGAGCTTATTCTGCCATCTCAGCCCAGCCCCCAAGAAGCTGTGTCTCTCTATCCTTATTGTAGAAAGTTCCACCGTTCCAGAGAAGAGAAGTTGCTCAGCAGTTCCTGCGGTCCCCTCCATTACTTCTCTTCCTCAACAATTCCTGCATTACAGAGCATTTGATTCTCTCCTCGCTCTCCTCCAACCCTCATTCCATTACTCCAGCACTGGACACCTGTTTGCCCTGACCATAGGGAAGTTGCATTGTCCGATGAAATAACCACAAGGCAGGAGCCAGGAACCACTGTGTTCTATCCCTAGCTCTGCCACTGGCTCAGACTGTGAGCTCTTGGACACATCACCAGCCAGAGTGCACGGATGGGCTGGGGGAGAAGAGATGGTGCCAGGAGACTGCAGCAGTCATTGGGCTGGCTGTGTAGGGGAGAGGAGACATGGATGATGCCAGCCAGGAAGGAGGCACCAAAAGAGGCATTTCTGGGCAGGCCTGGGAACTTGGTCTCCCCAACCCCAGCTCCCTCAGCTTTCTGAGAGGTGTAATCAAGCTCTTAACTTGGCTGTTTGTTTCCCCCTTTTATTCCCGGGGGGATAACACCTACTTCACAAGGTGCTTGAACATTAATGTCTGCACAGCACTTTAAACGTGGGCAGGGCCGGCTCTAGGGTATGCTATATTCTGGGCCCCATACCCCAGGTAACCCTCCCATTTCCCACTCAAGCGAAGCTGTTCGGCAAGGTGATGCTTTGGAGAACTAGTAGGGACAGTCCCGCCTGCCCCTGGAAGGCGCACAGCCTCGTGTGTCAGAGCGACATGAAGCCTTGGGATCCTGTCTGACTCGCCAATGAGGCTGGATGCCATGCCAGCGCCAATAAGTAAAATCCCTCTTCCGCCACCAGCTTGCTAGGAACCTTTGCTTCTCCCTCCGGGATGAGGACCTGGCCAGGCTGGTCCTGCAGGATTCTTGTCATTCACTATATCAGGATGTGAGGGTAAGAACAGCCCTCAGGCTCCAGCTGGTATAAAATGTGGCAGTAATCACCTTCATGGCTTAGGCCACTGTGGATGTATCTAGCCTTTGCGCCAGTTCCTCCTTGGTCCCCCAGACAGCTGCTGCTCCCAGTTTAGAGCCTTGGTCATAATCATCAAAGCCAGGAATGGATCCGTACGCACCTATGTTATGCACTGCATTGCCAGCCATCTGGCACCAGGACAGTCAGGAACAATGCAGCTCATAAAGCCCAGCATGAAGTATGCCAGAACCAGGGACAAAGTATTCCCAAGCAGATTTGGCTGTAGAAGGAACTTCTGGAGGACAGAAGATGACTTCAGAGTCTAAAAGCCTTTAGGAATGTTGCAATCACTTCCTCTTTAATAACGCTTTTCCTCCATAACTGATGGTCACAACTTCAAACCACCTCCTGTTCCAACTATCCTCTCCCACCCAAAATCCTACCCCAGCAGAACTTTCTATAAGAAGGAGCCAGAGACTTCATGAAGTACAACAGGGATGTTACTGTTCCCAATCTATTTTACACGGAAGGTGTTCAGATGCTACAGTGATGGGCAACAGCACAACACCGCCACCAAATAGATCAATTTAATCACACAGAAAGTGAGTGCTGGAGGGTTTCCTGACTTGGAAGCTGCTGGGCAGCTAGCTAGCTAGCCAGCCAACCAACCATCTCATTTGTGCCACCTCCTGGCTTCTCTGTTTTTACTCTCTTCACGTGACAAGCTCTAGCAGAGCAGCATGCAGAGAACACACAGATGAAGAGAGTCGCGCTCTCATTCTGCACAGCAGCTTTTGGAACAGGGCACAAAAAAAACAAAATAAAAACCAACCGCAACAACCCCCTCTCCCTACCCCCCGCACGACATCTCCTGAGCAGGTCAGGAGCACAGCAAAAAATAGGAAATAGAAATACTGCCAAAATACACAACTGTCAAAATTACACATAGCACATCTCTTGTATGTTGCACCATCTAGTTTTAACAGGCTTTTGCTAAATGTTCGAAGCGTCCAAATGTCAGAAGCCTTGCTCCTAATGAATTTAAAGGTTCTGTCTACCATACATGATTGACTGGGATACAAGACAACGAACGAAGTTAGGAGAGAAAGATGTCCCCTTATTGCTAAGGGCTTTGTTCTCCTGGAACAGCACTTTTAACAAATTTAACTACTCAAACAATATACGTTCTCTCTCTTGAGCAAACTGCTATTTCCTTTGGGCTGCTAAGGAGTGGTTTATGCTTAACATTATAAACAACCATGCTTCAAATAAAAACAGTTTTAATGAGGTTCTGCATGTCTGCTTTTTTAAAGAGAAAAAACACACTGAAGAGAGACAGTGTAGGTTAACCTGAGGATGGAAAATAAAACATTTACAAACCACCATATTGTTTTTATTATCCAAGACGGAGCTGTTGCTATG